CTCAATTTTTTGACTCTCTATGAATACAGTGGCTCAAGAAGGGGAATACTCACAGAAGGGACTGTTCATTCGAACCTCAGATAGTTAATTTTACTAATAAAAAAATTCTAAAATGTCGATTTAAATAAAATAACGTGTGTTGTGCTACCTAAGAACCCAATCCGGCAATGCATGACCATGGTTATTACTTTGGAATCTAGTACTCGACCATCCGAGGATTTGAGAAAATAAAATGCAGGCTGAGGCATCAATGGGAGTAAACCAACGGGGAGCGAAGGGAAAGGAAAAGATCAGAAAAAGATTAATTACTACATTATTCGTGGAAAGAGGCGAGACGGTTGCTTGGGCCTGTTAGCGAAGACCCGTTCAAGGAGAGTAAAAAGGGGTTCATTCTGCAGTTAGACTGGTCAGGGGAATGGGAGGAGGGGCAACTATCAACAGGAATCTTCCGAGTGTGGAGATGGGTGCGTTACTTACGTAGCCGCTTCTAGAAAGAAAATTTACCCTCAGGACAACATCAACAGAACTGCGATGGAAGGGGGAGTGACCTTCCTAGGTGTCACGAATTAAATATTGGGTCACTTCCAAAAGACAGGAATGAGACGCTCCCATAGGTATTCCCCGGTCACTGGGAATTAGGCGGGATTGTGGTGAAAAACGCAGGGCTGATGTGTGGGCGTTACCTGCAGGGTCACCTCCTGAGGGTCCCAGTGTGGTCGCAGGTGTTGCAGGAGGCTCAAGGCCCCCTCCCGGCAACGCTGCTCCTCCTGATCCTGAACAGTGACATTCAGCTTGGGCACCTCCGGGGAGCCGGGCGGGACGTGGATGTAATTGGCCATGGCCCAGGCGACGGCCGAGACTACCACAACGACGACGGCAACGGCGACCACGAGAACGGCGGGCGCCGACAGGCTGGTGGATCCTTCCGTCCCGGGGCGCCCTCGCAGGAGGGCTGGGGGCGCTCAGACTGGCGGACGAGCTGTAGGAGAACAGATGGAGGCGACACTCTCGCCGACCTGGGTCAGGATAGCAACTGAACTGAGCCGAAACAGCACACGGGGAAAATTCCTCTTGGCTGCGCTCGACCGCCGGACACCGCAGAGCATGTCGGGACTGGCCTGACGCTGGCGTCACGCGCGAGGCGGGGCCTCCGCTGGCGTCAGGAGCAGAAATTGAGTTTCTAACCTCCGGCACAATGGGCTGGAGCCTTTGCGCTCGGTTACTCTCGTTACTAGGCGCTCTGCCCTTTGCGCTGCTAGCCTGAAAAGCGCGGGGCTCCTCCTGCAGAATAAGTGATCCGTGCCAAGACTCGCAAAGCATTGAAGCGTTAGCCCAGCTGATTAGGAGGGTCATGGGGCTCTGGGCTTGAGTTAGGGCTTTTTTCTGGGAGGTAAGGGGCACGTCCTGAAATAACCCGGGGAACACGGTATGAATTTGGCCTGAGACTTCGGTTGGATTAACTGGATCGCCTTGATCCCGGATCTGCTGTGTACTGTGGGCCCCGTAGTTCGGTTGGCAACTAAATTCCCCTTAACAGTATACCAAGATCATGGTATTTGGGACAAAGTTAAGATTTTGGGGTAAGACAACGACAACACTTCAAGGGTTATTTTTTGACTATACTGAGAATTTTATTTATTTTGACTATACTGAGAATTATGCAAGGCCAAGAGGAACAGATGAGAGTCTGCGGTGAAAATAAGAATGAAGAGAAGTAAAATAGATTTGAGGCTCAGAGCTAGAGTTCATCTATGAGGTGTAGGGTATCCCCGAGGGGGGCCTAGGGGCTCGCCACCTTAACACCTTTAGTCTCAATTTCCCATAGCAGCTATTTCCCCTGTTAAGGGACTGCTGGAAGCGGCATAATCCACGAATAAATTGTCGAGACGTCCTAAATTTCCTTATGATAGAGGAAAATGGACTAGGATTTGGCCTCTTAATCTGTGTCTTCCCTACAGCACTTACACTTAAACCCCAAACTCATTGCCGTTAATGGATTCCTACTCACAGTGACCCTATAAAATAGAGTAGAACTAAGCTGCTGGTGAGTTCAAAAGCTGACCTTTCTGTTTGGAGCCGAGTGCTTAACCACTGCGCCACCAAAGCTTCTGCAGCATTTAGTACACGGTAAATACATTTGTTAATGGTAAATTGAATCACTAACGACTCAGCTTAATTAACAGTCAAATTTTTTTAGTTACCTCACTAACGTAAGTCTACATTCTGGTTGTTCAGAAAGAATCTACTTTGTAAATCACAAAATAAATACCTCACCATCAATAACAATAAACTCTAAACTAAAAAAAGGGCAAAGAAAATAGAGTTTTACAATACATCAAGGAAAGTGATTTCAGCATTTTCCAGACTTATGCATAATTTTCTAAATCATGAACTACAGAGACACTAATTACTCATTTCTTCAAATCTGGGGAGAAATAATCAATGTACTTATACAGTACTTTCACATTTCAAATAGTATTTCCTGTGTTTTTTTATTAAGCAATCGATATTTTAAGAATTTTAAAACTATTTTGTAATTGTAAAATAATTAAATAGCAAATTATGAAAAAATATTTCAGGAACTGTACAAGTGTGTAATTTTAAAGAGGAGTCTGTTAAC